ACCCATGTCCCCTGCATTAGCAGGCAGATTCTCAACCACTGCGCCACCAGGGAAGCCCTAAAATACCTCACTTTTAAAAACTGAATACCGACTTTACCTTACCTTAAGCAGAATCTATGAAAATATGGGTTTGATATGCCAATTATATTTTTCTAATAACCACTTAAATAACTATTAGACATATTTATTCAAAATATACATACCACACTCTGAGGAAAGTGATTGTAGGGGAGGGGGGCTTTGGATGGCAGGAGATTGACATGATTGGATTTCTTTTAGATAGAGAACAGTGGTGACTAAGTGGAGGCTGAATTGTAAGACAGAAGTTAAAAAAAAAAATCAATTAGGAGGCAAAAGATTACTTGAGACACAAAGAAGGCGTGAAATGTGGAAGTGCTAGAGACAGACAAGGACAGAATCAAGAAGTATTAGAAAGCAGAATCAGAAAGTCTTAGTGATTGACTGGATGTACAGGCTAAAGGAAGAGTCTAGGACAACTCTCAGGCTAAGTAAATCATGACTGGAAAAAACAGAAATAAGGAACAGGTTTGGTGGGGAAAAGGTAAAGTGCAGCTTTGGATACACTGAGTTTATAAGGCCTATTGAACAACCAAACAAAGATGTCCAATGTGCTTTTATATATATAAATCTGAAACTAGAGGTTATAACCAGAGCTGATGACACAGACCAAGAAGCTATCAGCATATGTGTTAATAAAAACCTTCAGAAAGAATGAAATCTCCAAAAGTAAGGAAATAATTTAAGAGAAATAACAAGCCTATCAACAACACAATATCTAATGGGACTATCAAGAAAGAGGACCCCAGGAAGGAAACCAATAAGGAATCATTAGAAAGATGTGAAAAGAACCAGGAGCGAGTGGTATCAAGGAAGCTGAGAGACAACAGGAAGGGAGTGGTTGATCTCAAATGTCCAGATACTCAGTAAAAAACAGCTTTGTTTTACATACAGTGTCTTATTTCCCTAAATAGACTTCATTTCTTTATGTTGGATAATTTGATTTGTGTCATTTACAGTCCCAATGTAGTATCTTGCTCAAAGGAAGCCCTCAAAAAGTCAGTTGTAAGAATAAGCATTAATTTTCTTCAACAAATAACAGAACCATATTTTCCAAAATGAGGTTCTGAAACTGTGATAAAAGTAAAAGTTATACTTATCTTGAATAGTTACCTGTACAAAAGCAACTCCTGTCATCAAAATTACTAGGGAGAGCCACTGGTACACACCTAATTTTTTACTAAGCATCGACACAGAAAATAATGCAGTCGTAAGAATTTTCAACTGATATGTGACCTGAAAAAGAAAACAGCTAATATTATTGTTTGTTTCTTTCTTTCTTAGAAACACTACTAGAAATGTATTTTAAATACCTGGTAAGTAGCTGCATCTAGATTTGACAGTGCCACATAGAGTAAATTATTCTGAAGAGTATATATCCCTGATGGAATAGCAAGTTTAAGTGTTTCCATAGGTTTATTAAGAATTTCATCATGTAGTATTCGATTCAGTGCTCTTAGACTACATTCTAGAAAAAACATGAAATGGACAAAATCAATAATTATGTAACTCCAAATAAGTTACATACTCTCCCTGAAGTCCTCAGTTTTTTCACCTGTAAAAAATGGAAATTTGGCTGCGTGTTAAGATCCTTTTAGGTCTAAAATATACAGACGTACCTCAGAGATATTGCAGGTTCATTTCCAGACCACTGCCATAAAGTGAATATCACAATAAAGTGAGTCACAAGAATTTTTTTTGGTTTCTCAGTGCATATAAAAGTTATGTTTACACTTTACTGTAGTCTGTTAACTGGGCAATAAGATTATGTCTAAAAAAAATAATGTGCATAACTTAATTAAAAAATACTTTAGGGCTTCCCTGGTGGTGCAGTTGGTTGAGAGTCCGCCTGCCGATGCAGGGGATGCGGGTTCGTGCCCCGGTCCGGGAAGATCCC